AAATATAGTTCCTTGTCACTTGCCTGCCTCTTACTTGGGTTTGCTTTCCTCCTTGATTATCTGACAGTCTTATGTATGCATTTTTCTTTTGTACTCCACATAATTTAGGATATAAAGAAAGAAGTAAAGGAGAATGAAGAGAAAGATAAGCGATGGATCACACTTTAGTAAGTCATCTCTAATCAAAGAATAACTTTTCAAGTGTGAAAATACAATAATTACTATGTAATGGCAGGGAGATCAGGTCCCAAGAAGAGAATGGGGTGAAGTAAGCAATGTGCTCTTCCTTTCCTTTCCTGGTAATTCAATAGTCTCTGGCTACTTGAGAAAGCTGTGAGGATCACTTTTTATCTCAGCTTGGCCACAGAAACTCACATTTCAGCTACAATCAAGGTGATCATCTTTACTCCTTGCTGACACCTTCCTTCCCCACCCCATAATGGCAGATTACTTCTAGGCGATTTCAAAAGGCTATTAAACACTGGCATGGATACCCAGAGAAGAGATTTTATCATCCCCTGGGGCCTTTCAGAACAGCTGATCAACACAGATAGGCAGTTTCACCCATCAAAAGAGATGGGGAGCTGAGAACTCAGCAAAGCATCTTGGGAGTAGAGAGGAGAGAAGATGTAGCTCTGTGCCTTGATGCACGGAAGCCTGGCTTGGACCACTGCTGTGAAATGCATGTGTATGCTGTATGCATGGTGTGCACTTGGTATATGTGGTGCTGTGTGGGCTCTGTAAGATAGGAATTTGGGGGGCTTGTTTCTTTCTGTACACATGGACAGGGTCTCAGGTCAGTTGTTGCTGATCTTCTGTCTTGACTGGACATTAGTATTCAAGGAACTTTAAAAACTAGAGATGCCTGGGCTAGCAGGCCAATGAAATAAGAATATCTTCTTTAAGAATAATACTTTAAGCTAAACTCCTAGGCAATCCAAACACAATGGAATTCTACATAAGTGTTTGAGAGTCACTGGTGTTATATACTATTCTATTCCATACTGCACTGTGACTTATCCAAAGGCATATATGCCTAGTTAGTAGATTAAAGCCATGCCCACCATGGATTTACTCATCCAGTGACTTGTACCTATGATATGCTAGGGTTGGCCATTAGCTGCTTACCTGACATTAAGGACAGGGTTAAGTCAAAGCTGGAACTCTAAAAATAGTCAGCCTGATCTAAGTTAAAAAGTGAGACTAAGTGTTGGCACACTCTCACACTTTCCTTCCAAACAGTGGTGTGTGATCCTCACCTCCAGAAAACATAAGGATTCCTTTGGTTCGTGCACAATCTGTTGCTACTTAGGACCTGCTTGTAGGTATTTCTAGGAGGCCTTTTACTCACCCAGATCCAAACTATAGCATGAGGGACAGGGGACAAGAATTCAGCTAGGAGCTCCAGGCACAGGACAATAAACTGTGGCCCCTGCTGAGGGCTGGAAAAGGGACAGTACACCATTCCCTATGCAAAGAAGGGAAAAGTAACCCAGCATTCTCCAGTATGTTCTATGAAGAAAACTATGTCCAGGATATTTTGTACTCTTTTTATTCATCCTTTTTCTTAAAACTTTTATTTATTTTATTTTAAAATGTATTTGTTTCTTTTGTGTGTGTGGGGGGGGGCATGCATGCCATAGTATAAACCTGGGCATCAGAGGGCAACTTGAGGGAATTGTTCTCTCTCTTTACCACTTGAGTTCCAGGGATCAAATTTGGCTAGTAGGCTGTAGGCTTGGTGGCAAGTATCTTTACTTGCTGCCATCTCTTCAGCCCTATTTATTCATAATTAATCCATTCTCTTCCAAGACATAACAACTGTCATCACAGTGGTTTATACAGCATATAATACTTAATAAGAAAACCCAACATGAATATTTTTCTTAAAAAGAAACTGTGAGGGTATGTGAGAGACATACCCCCACACCCTGTGTAGTGTGTTTATGTGTTTGTGTGTGTGTGTTATTGTGAATCAAACCCAGAGCTTTATACTTGTTAGAGAAATACTGTATCACACACTTACATCCCTAGTTCCCTTCCCTTATTTATTTTAAAATAGGGTCTCCTAAATTGCCCAGGCTAGCCTTAGACTAGTGATACTTCAGCATCCAGGCTGAAGTTCAATTTTCAAAACTCAGTCAATCTCATCCTCATCAGGACAGAACTGTGGGGGAGAAACTGTTCTCTCAAATGGGGCATCAGTACCAGGAGCGAATCTTTTAAGAAGCATTTCTTCCTTCCTTCCTTCCTTCCTTCCTTCCTTCCTTCCTTCCTTCCTTCCTTTCTTTTTTTCTTGAGGAGAGCAAGAAAAATAGAAGGATATGAGAGTTGGTTATGGTGGTGCATACTGGAGGGGTGGGGGAAAATCTTTTCAAGGCCTGCCTCAGTTACTTAGTGAATTCAAGGCTAGCCTAGAATACATGAGATCTGGTGGCAATGAGATATTTTTTTTTAACATAAAAAGTGATCTTGCTCAATTACAAAATGAGTCAGCCTTCTTAGTCTCACAAATGATGCTATTGGTACACCTCATTCATAGAAGACTACTCCAGAGGCCAGTTATTCTCTCTGATAGTACATTAACGTGTATTCATTCAGTTGTGGACTTTTACCTACACCTCAGTGTCATGTCTATTTCCCTTCATGTATCTGCCCTGTTTGATATTCAATAGCTTGGGCAACAGGAATTTTCTAGAAGATATGCAATACTTTGAATGCATTCAGAGTTTCCTAGAGGTGAAAGCCTGAGTATTGCCAGAATTTGAAAAGGGCTTGTCACCACTGGTTTTCAATGATGACTCTGATGACCGTTAGTCTCTATAATGAAGGATTTTATGTTCAAAGGACTGAAAAGAATTCAGGAAGGGATGAGGTCATAGCTCAATAGAGTGATTGCTTAGAATATAGGAAGTTCTGAGTTCAATCCCCAAAGTTGCATAAGCTGGGCATGGTGGTGTATTCCTGTAATCCCAGCATTTGGAAGGTATAAGTAGATGACTCTTGGATAATTAGTTGGAAAACAGTCTGGGTTACATGAGACTGTTTCTCAAAAATAAAATAAAATACAACATCTCATGAAATTGGGACTTAGACAAAAATAGAGAATGGAGACCCTGGAAGATTAAATATATCCATTTTGATTTTGCTCCAAGTTCACTACCTGGAAGGCAAAGAAAAGGAAAAGCATAATTCCCTCACCTTTTCCACTGACTTTTAACTATATTAATGACAATGTAAACATCAGTGTTTGTCCTAGAAAATGGCTTTCTTTGGATTCATTGACATGTGCAAGGGCAAAGAAGATATTACAAGACATATTAGAATACACAGGTGTTCAAATGAGCTGGTAAGTGATTTGGGTTGTCAATCAAATAGACTGTGCAAACTTGCATCTACACCTCCCCTACTTAGCTGAGAAGTGAGTTCTGAAGTCTTTATCCTAAGCTCTTAGCAAAGCACCTAAACACAGAAGACACTGAAACACTTGGATTGGGTCAATTCTTTGGTATCACTCATAAATTAATGAGGACCGTGAAACCCTGTCTAGTTTCAGAGTAGTTAAAGAGAGAGCAAGGCAGCACTGTGTTAAAGAGTGGAAGCTCATGGTGTTACTTAACAACCCCGAGAGCTGTCCAGCAGTGCACTTAAGCTATCAGCCAGGGCAGCCTTACCCAGGGACCCTTTACCTATAATTTGTTTCCTCCACTTGCTAAAGTCTTCTGATACAAGGCAATTCTCAGCTCCCATAAGTAGAAGGCTGGGCTGGCTATATTTTAACCAGGGCTACAGCTCAATGTGGGGGCTTGCTTGTGCCAGGGCCTGGGTTTGGGAGCCCTCATCCTCACCCACAGATTCAAATTCCATCTTTTGTTTTAGATGCGTAGACTACTGCATATTTCAGAGTCTCCTCCATTTCCATGTCCTGTTAGTACCTATATAGTGCATTTAACCTACAGGCCCATGAGCCTCATGCATCCCAGGACAGCAATGATAAGGCCTAACCCATTTGTAGATGTCAATGTCATATCATAGTGTCAAAGTATTGGACACTCCTGGTAGATAACACATTGATATCTAATGCATACAATCCCCAGTTTTCCAATAGGAAACAGCTGAAACTCCCCCCCCCATTTCCATTTTTGGTTGTTATTGACTCTCTATTATTATGACTGCTGAGTTCTAGTTCCAGTACCATAAGACCTCACTTCATGTCTGACCAGGAGCAGCAGATCCTGGCAGTTTTTCTATCTTAGCATGCTAAGTTCACCAAGAATGTTCAGCTTGTGTCCTGGGCAGATGGCTCAAGATCAAGCTAAAGGAGTGTAGTCAGTACCAGTAAAGTCTGCTTTACACTAAGGCACCTGACCAAGCCACTATAGTTGAGCACCTGCCATCTGAGTGATTTGGTGAGCATAGGATTTTGGGGCAGGAGACCAACACGGTACTTCAGGGTAGGAAAGCTCATAGCATCCCACTTCGACAACTGGGAAGTAGAAAACAGAGGAGAGGTTCATGCTTTATTTCGTCCTAGCTGAGCGCCCACTCCTGGAAACCAGGGACCCAGAACAGGCAAATGCTGGCAGAGTTCACCCGACTCAACTGGAGGTAGCTGGTCTCCAGTGTTTTGTTAGATTTTATGTGGATACAAACAGGCTAAAGCTAAGAGGACCACTAGATGCTGGTACAGGGAGGCAAGCACAAAACAAGGGCAGCTCAGGGTGTACTGGAAATGAGAGGTCTCAAGAGGTTCCTCCAGACAAAGCATCCCGAAGCAGCTGAGAGAGGAAAAGGGGTCTCGGGGGCGGTTACCCTGCGGGCATTGGGAACATGAGGCACACAGGCAAGTCAGATGTACTGGCTATTAGTGGGAAAAGAGAACAAGAGTCAGACAGAGGGACAGACATGTAGGAGAGGCGTTAATAGGCAGAGCCCGGGTCTGGTGGGTCCGAGGTCCCCTCCAGAACGCCCCGGACCCGGCCACCCGCGTGTGTACTCACCGGCGCTACCCGGGACTGCGCTGGGCGGAGCCGCCACTGCCCTGTACACCACTGGGCCGCCTTGATGCAAGCTCTCGGAGGAGTCGCGGATGGCCAGGATGGTAGTGCAGCAGTAACTCGAGCCCGCCCCGCCTCGGAGTCCGGGATCCGGCTTCCCTGCTCTCCGCAGGTCTCCTCGCAAACATCTAGAACTTTCTAAGATACTCTGGGAAATTTAGACCTGGGTAAAATTACCCGCAAGCACACGGTTTTTGGGCGGACGCTCGCTTCCTTGACCGCATGGCGAGTTTGTCAATGAAGGTTTTAAATAGCTTTGAGGAGGTTGCAGTAGCAATGAATAGAATCTAGCGTGGCTTGGTATTATTAAGTGAAAAAAAAAAGTATACTCATTTACTGACTCGGTCATTGGACCGTTCTAAATTTTAGGGGACATTGAATGGCAATCAAAGGTGTTTTTCTTTAAGCTCTGACTAGCTGCCTTTGATGAACACTTTACTTACAAGCAGTGACTCCTGAGGACCGGGGAGCAGGTGGTTCTTTTGCAGGCACTGGAGTTAGAATTTACAAAACCAGCTGTTATGTTTGGAGCACATTACCATGTTATTTGGTATAAAGAAAGAGGGTGAAGAGAAAAGAGGAACAAAAGAGAAAGAAAGGAGAAGTAAACAGCCTGTTTAATCTCCAACAGTTAGGATTTGCTAGCCCGGACGAATGTCAGTGTCCAACACGGTGAGGGGAGGAAATGCTGTCTATATACAGCTGCTCTGCTTCAGTGGTTTAGAAAATCTTACGACTGGTTCATCAGGGACACTTCTCTCTCTGTCTCTATCTGTCCATTTCTGCGATGGCACGCTGTAGCAGCATTTGACCAGTCAAATGTCTGACAGCCATTTTAAAATGGAAAGGAGCACTCGGACACCGAAGTGCTCCACGGAAACCAGAATGCCTCGCCCAGGCCTGGGGTGACAGAAGGCTGGGATCCTGTATCAGAGGAAGGACTGCAGATCCCTGCCTCACAGAGGGCGTTCCCTCCAAGCTCCCTGGGGCGACAGTCCGTTAGCTAGTGGGTTCTCCCAGAACTTAGGAATGTTGTAGAACAGGTTTTTTCCCCTCAGGCTTTTGGCCATCTCGGAAACACCTTCTTGTGGAGAAGTTTTCCATGGAGAAATTGGTGTTGTGCCATTCATTTTTTTTGCTGTCAATTGTTTGGAATTTTGGCCTTTGTCATTTTGAGTTTGCCTTGTCACACACATATCCTCTCTGTTGCTTAATGCTTCTGAAACTGCATATGCAAGGCAACACCCATGGGCCTAGTTAACGAACCTGAGTTGGATTCAGTAGGTCTGGAGTGGAGCCCAAGGGGAATAAGTCTATAAACCACCCCACCCAGGCCATACCACATCGATGCATCTAGGCTGTCAGCCAAATTTGTACAGCCTAGATTTGTTGTAGATGGATGAGTTAAAAAGTACTTCTGGGGCCTGTGGTGGAGCATGCCTTTAATCCCAGCCTTCAGGAGGCAGAGGCAGAGGCAGGCAGGGATCTCTTGAATTTGAGGTTAGCCTGTTCTACAAAGTGAGTTCTAGGACAGCCAGGATTGTTGTTACATAGAGAAACCTGTCTCAAAAAAAAAAAAAAAAAATAAAATTACTTCTGGGGGTAGCACCGAGGAACCTAAAATAATTATTAGCAATAGTGGTACCATTCACCATAATGTGGGTGTTTATTTGGTTCAGAGGCATTTGTAGTTAGTTTTAGGCACTACTCCCTACCATCTTTGAGGACTTGCTTGTTTTATTTTATATATATATATATATATATATATATATATATATATATATTCCCTTATTTTACATATCGATCCCACTTCCCTCTCCCTCCCTCCCTTCCTCCCATGCCCCCCCACCACCACCCTCTCATACCATTCTCCCCCAACTCCACAGGGACTTGATGCCTTCCAGGAGGGATCAACAAAATCTGTCAAGTCATTTGGAATAGGGACTAGGCCTTCCCTCTTGTCTCTAGGTTAAGGGAGTATCCCTCCATGGGAAATGTGCTCCCAAAGTCCCTGTCAGAAGTCCCTTAGACCCATGTTCAGGGGGTCTGATCTATGTCATTAGGAATCACTAACTGTTGTATTCATTCACTTACTGCTGTATTCATTTAGCAGAATACAAGTAATATGTTTTCCCTAAGGTGCATGACCTGTCTGCTCCCAGGTTCTTGCCCTCATTAACAGTGTCAGGTATGGGTTCCATCTCATGGGGGAGGCCTTGATTCAAAAAGTGTCACTTCTTGCCTTCAGCTGTAGGAGATTTTAACATGTTAGTATTATTTGTGTTTTCTCTGTGGTAAGTGTACCAAAGATATTGTCCCAATAAATATTTGTACTTTGAATTTAGAGTTGTTTGTTTTGTTTTAATAGGAACTGTATTTAAAATTATATTTACTTTGGAGCTGGAGAGGTGGCTCAGTGAGAAAGAGTACTTGTTCATATTACCAGCACCCATGTAAAATCCAGGCAAGGCCCCATGGTATCTCTAACCTAAAGGGGACAGCCCCTCACTTTTATAAGTAGATGCTATTACTCTTAAATCACAAACAGACTACTATCAAATGGTCTGTCTAAGGATGTAAGACATGAATAGCTTAATTTTTGGAAGTACTTATACGTTCATTGCTGTGGAATATCCTTCTGTACACCGTGCAGATGTGTTGCTCTTGTTAGTAAAAACTGATGGGGCAATAGCTTGGCAGGATTTTGCAGGCAGAGAGAAGGCTGGAAAGAAGGGTGGAGTCAGGGAGTTGCCAGCCAGATGCAGAGGAAGCAGGATGTGTACAAGAAGAGGTAATAAGCCTTGAGCCATGTGGCAGCAATTACATTAATAGAAATGGGTTAGTTTAGGTTATAAAAGCTAGTTAGAAACAAGCCTAAGCTACTGGCCACACATTTATATTCAATAACAAGTCTCTGTGTGTTATTTGGGGAGCTGGCTGGCAGGACAGAAAAACCCTGCCGAAAATTTACTTGTTGTTCTAACAACTGTCAATATTTCAAATACCATGTGGAAGCCATGGAGGCCACGATGGTGAATTCTTCTCATTGCCTTTGTAGCCCAGCAAAGGAGAGGGCAGAATTTGGTTAGGCAACCACATTTGTAAAGGTGCAACTGTAAACTTGAGTAAGTGCCCTAAAGAAAGTGATATATATATATATATATATATATATATATATATATATACACAAGTCTCTCCCAGACCAGGTAGAGGTGTCAAGCATCAGGGATGCCAGCTTGCACATAAGCTCCTAGAAGAACTTCATTAGCATGCATGGTGGGGGGGGGGGGCTAGGCAGAAGGAGGAAGGGATGTACCCCTGTGGAGGAAAGGTCAAGTCAGTGTGGCAGCCATGCTGAGAATGCTCTTTGCTATTCTAAGGGCAGTGTGAGCTCTGGGAAAGTCTAAGCAGGAAGAATAGAGTTGCCTTTGTGTTTTGAGATGATCAGTTTAATTGCTACTTGGAAAATGGATTAGAGTGAACAGACAATAAGCCAGTATTAGTTACTGTAAGACAAGGCAGCTGCCAGGCTTTATGAGAACTAGAAAGAGTACCTCTACACAGCAGGCAGTTTTTTTTAAAAAAATAAATTCTTATTTAAATTAAAAACAATATTATAGTACATACTAATTCCAGTTCCCTCTCCCTCTGATCCTCCCATGCCCCCCACCATCCACTCCTCAGGGAGGGTGAGGCTTCCCATGAGGGGTCATCAAAGTCACATCACTTGGGGCAGAGCTAGGGCCCCCCCCGCAGGTGTATCTGAGAGAGAGAGAGTATCCCTTCATGGGGAATGGGCTCGCAAAGTCCATTCCTGCACTAGGGACAAATACTGATCCATTACTAGAGGCTCCATAGACTGCCCAGTCCTCCCAAATAACACCACATTCGGGGAACCTGGGTTGGTCCTATGCTGGTTTCCCAACTATCAGACTGGAGTCCATGAGCTCCCCCTTGTTCAGGTCAGCTGTTTCTGTGGGTTTCTGTAGCCTGGTCTTGACCCCTTTGCTCATCACTCCTCCCTTTCTACAACTGGACTCCAGGAATGATACATTTAGACAATGGAGTACTACTCAGTGGGGAAAAGAAAAAACAAAAACAAAAACCAATGAAATCTTGAAATTCACAGGCAAAAGGAGGGAACTAGAAGAAACCATCCTGAGTGAGGTAACCCAGTCACAAACAGACAAACATGGTGTGTACTCACTCATAAGTGGATATTAGACATAGAGCAAAAGATCACCAGCCTACATGAGAAAGAAGTAACTCTACTTAATTTATATTATAGTTTTTTGGTTTTTAAAGACAGGGTCTCACTCTATAGCCCAGGCTAGCCTCAGGCTTGTAGCGATTCTTTGTCTCACTTCCTACATACTGAGACAACAGGTGTTCAGTCCTCAACCCCAGAGAATCTGGGAAACAAGGAAGACCCTAAGAGAGACATACATGGTTTCTCCAGAGAAGGGGGAAAGGGGCAAGAGCTCCTTGGGAGCATGGGGAGGGAAGGAGAAGAAAGAGAAGGGGAGAAGGGGAGAAGGGGGGAAGGAGAAGAACATGAGGGATCAGGAAGATCGAGTTGGGGGAAGAATAGAGGAGAGCAAGAAAAGAGATATCATAATACAGGGAGCTATTATAGGTTTAAAGAGAAATCTGGCACTAGGGAAATGACCAGAGATCTACAAGGATGACCCAAACTAACAATCTAAGCAATAGTGGAGAGTTTACCTTAAATGCCCTTTCCCTATAATGAGATTGATGAATACCTTAAATGCTTCCATCCAGTAGTTGATGGAAGCAGAAGCAGAGAATCACAGCTAAACACTGAGCCGAACTCCAGGAGCCAGATTTTACAAAGTCATCTCTGGCGGGGTTTGTTCCCTGGATGCAGAACTTGGTCAGAAGACAATGGCTTTACAGGAAGAGGGAGATATTCTATTTCACTAACAAAAGTCACTAACAACTCCAAGGTATCTGTCAGTAGAGCCTTGGGCTACCTGAGTACCTGTCAAGGCCAAAACATCTTGTTACAGTACACCCTGCACAACTGGGAAGAGGAAAGTATCGGAGGGCGGATCTGATCCACTGTGTCAAAGCCAAGCCACAAAAGGACTGACCAGTGTTTATTTGATATAAGAACAACATTTTGCTGGCTTCATAGGGGCTCACAGAGATTGAACCAATAACCAGGGAACATACATGGGTCTGCCTGGGCACTCTGCATACTGTT